CTGATTTAAGAATGACCTTAAGACCCTATTAATCAAGTCTATAAAGATCACATGTGCATTAGTTAATCTGAATGGCATGACAAAGAACTCATAATGCCCATATTAAGTTCTAAAGGCCATTTTAGGGATGTCTTTTGCCTTGATCTTTACCTGATAGTATCCCCAACATAGGTCAATTTTAGAGAAAATCTGAGCACTCTGTAATTGGTCAAAAAGATCATCAATCATGGGGAGAGGGTACTTGTTTTTTATTATGACCTTGTTCAATTCTCTTAGTCAATACACAACCTCAAAGACCCATTATTTTCTCCTGCGAATGTGACTCTGGCACCCTAAGAGGATATGCTATGTTGGATGAACCTATTATCCTGCAACTTCTTGATCTATTTCCTTAGTTCTTCTATCTCGACACGACTCATTCGGTATGGGACAATCGAGATGGGCTGGGTGCTAGGCTGAAAGTCGATGACAAATTCGACTTCTCAATTTACTGGTAGTTCTGGTAATTTATCAAGGAATACATTCGAAAAATCTTAAACAACAAGAATATCTTGAATGCAAAATCTCTTTCTTAGATTTGCCTAACATAGAAAAGAATAGTTGAGTTAAGGGCATTTGATAAAAAAATGTAGTTACCACGTGTGAATAATATCTAAAACTTTTATTAATTTGTAAAAGACTCTTCTTCAGGATTGTTGAATATAAGCTTCTTATGAAAGCAGTCCACAGTGACGTGATACACTGCTAACCAATTCATTCTCAGAATTACATCAAAATCTCCCGTGTCAAATGCTATCAAATCTACTCTCAATTTTCTATATATTATTTTTATTATACAAGCTTTATATATAACACTCTCCAGTAGAGTCCCATTCCTAGGTGTAGACACAAACAGTACAGAATCAAAGCTTTCAGGTAACAGATTTGAATTTTAAATAAAAGCATGTGAAATAAAAAAATGTGAAGTACCAGTATCAATTAAAATATTTGCAAGGTAGTTGTAGATAGTGTACGTACCTTGTATTACGTTCGAGTTAGCTTCAGCATCCTGTTGAGTGAGTGTATAGATTCTGCCCTAAACTGCGAGTCTAACTTAATTCTGATTTCGTAAACATTCTTTTACGTAGTGTTGGGCACTCCCGCATATGCAGCAGGTGTTGTTGAGGTGATAACATGGTCGGTCTCCATGATCCTTGCCATAATGCTAGCAAATCTTGTTGTGTCCTGTTACTAGGGCCTGAAAAGGAGCTTGAGTTGCGGGCCTTGGTCTCTTGTTCTGCTAGTTCAATGCAGTAGCCGCTGCCCTGCAATGTGGAACTAGGGGCCTAGAGTTGCCTACTATTAGGGAAAAAATACGAATGTTCCTTTCTATCAACTATACCTTGGTCAAAACTGCTGAGTAGGTACTGAGCTCAAAAACATACAATTACTGTCTAATTTCAGGACGGAGACTCCACTCAAACTTTTTTGCCTTTCTACCTTCGTCTGTCATGCTCTTAGGAGAGTATCGACCTAATTTCAGGAATTTTCGAGCATACTCTGATATTGACAAATATTCGTAGACTAAGTGTGCAAACTCTATCTCCTTCAGATACTGGAGGTGTTCTGAAAAGTACTCAGCATTGAAGGCTGTTAGGAACTATTCTTAGGTGATTAGAGTGGATACCCTGCCTCACCTATGAGCATGTAAGTAACAAGAATAACCTTATATTCGGGAACTACCTAAGGGTTGCGAAAACCTTCTTTGTCTCTGTCAACCAGTATTCAGCTTTCTCGAAGGTGGATGCGCCTGCAAAAGTAGATGAATTAAATATTTTGTACCTTTCAATGTAATATGAGTTCATCACAAGTGGAGCTGGGTCCTACTGATAGGAGGCTGAATTATGCTAGAGAGGGACCGGGTGGCCCTATGGTGGCACTTGGTTGTAAGGTGGGGCACCGAATTGTACTGTGACGGTGCTGGATGATACGATGGAGGAGCATGGTGTACCATGATGGCACTAGATCCTCTCGGTGTGGAGGTGGCTCATATTGTGGTAGTGGTGGAGGAGAATCAGATAACTCTCTCATCTCCTCTATGGCTTGCTGGGCAAAGATGAGCCTATTTAGCATGTCGAAGAGCCGATCGATATCCTCTCAAAGCGCTCCCCCCTAGGATATTATATTTAACGGGGGTCTTTCCCTCCTTATGTCATTGTACCTATATTTCACAATAAAAGTTTGAGATTCAGGTTGTATTGAATTATTCTAACCCTATGTGTAATGAATGGTTCTAAAGAACACAACTCTGATACCAATTGTAAATGCTCATAATTACTTAAATAGTAATATTAAAATTTATTAGTTTTGTAAAAGTAATTTAGAATTTGGAGTTAGATTACTTGCACAATTTAATTGAAATATCCAATAGGGTTACGGGAATGTCCCTTGAAATAAACTGAAAACTTATATAATCAACCTCCGCTGTGTAATTGAGAAAGCGGGAGGCAATCTTTTTGTTAATTTTCTTGTTGGTCTGGATCCGGATCTTGATCGTTCTGATCTAAAATGGTTAATAATAAAGGGGTGAACTAAACTAGTTCAGTAAGAATATCAACATTTTACTACCGATAAGGAAAAATTCTAGGTTTATAAAAATCGTAAAATAACCAATGGAACTTATTTTTCTTTCTTAAGTAAATTCATTTAACTTAAAAATATTTATTTCCCACTCACCTTTAAGTTTCCAGATACCATTTATAAATAAAAGAACCAGAATAGTAATTCACATCATACATTCTAAAAGATCAACAGTAATTAATCTTTATCTTTTTACTTACTTACCGGTAATGTTGGTGGTTCATAAGGGTTCCTACTACATATGGGCCAAGTATCTATTGTATTAATCAACTGGTCGTCCCCATATCTCGTCCGATAATGGACGTCAAATACATCACCGCTTCAATACCTTGTCCGGTAATGAGCTTAATCAAACAGTTTTTAACTCCTTCAGGTATGGGATTCTTTATTCTCGTCTGACTGAGAATAACGTTCACGGCAAGGTTTACCCAATGTATCGTATCCGTACACTATTTTTCATGACACTCAATAAGCCCTTTTAATTTTTGAGCACATTGCATACACTTACTAGTCACGTGTCACACAACGATTCGTCGCGCTGCTGACGTGGCCGTCCTACGTGGCTATATATTTTTTTTTATGATTTAATCCATATTTTTCGATTTTTCTTTCAAATATATCATCTCTTTATTTACTATTTGGTTTTTAATTTTTGAAAATTATTTTAAACGCGTTCAAAATGCATGTAACTCAAAAAAATTTAACAAAAAATTAAATTTAAAATTTTTGAAATTATTATTAAGATAATTTTTGTCATTCGTAGCCTAAATCCCTAACTCGGGCTATTACCAAATTGATTTTGAATTACATTATATATATATATTATTTTATAATTTCTAATATATTTTTATTTATCTAGGTGTTGAATTAATTATTAGAGTTCATATCATAACGTAGTATCAAGATAATTATATATGTCTTAGATAATTTATTTGTAAATGTTAGCTGAAGTTGACATACATGGTTAATTAAGATAGAAAATCTTGTAACAATTTTGACTATATCAATAAAAAATTATTTTATTTTTATTAAACTACTGTGCGTGAATATAATATATATAAATTTTAACATATGATTTAATGTATATCTATATTTAAATAAGAGATTTTTATGTTTAATCCGTTAGCCTCCCCTTTTTTTTAATAAAAATATGAAATTTAAGAGATTAAAACCTTTATTACATTCCATTTTTTCATTTTTTATCATACAAATTATTTCCTTCTATTTATTTATTTATTTTTAATAAAAAAACATGACTTTCAAGGCAAGCTTATGTCACTCTTGAGCCGTCCCCGTCTTGTCTATCTCCACGTGGCCTCACGAGTTTCACGGTTTGGTCTCGGTAATTAAGTTGAAAAGATGAGATTGAATGATTGATTTTAATTACAACTAATATAATCATGAAGGGCATTTTGGGAAAAGAACCGGTAAAACCCCGCATGGGAAAAGGGAAAATGGGCGGCATAAGGGATGTAGTGGAGAAGGTCAATGGGGAATATGGGATGGCAGTTTAGTAATTTACAATACACAAGTGTATAGCGCCAACGGCCACTGAAATCCAAAACGCCCCAAAAAGCAAAGGTGACCTACATATGGCCCCAACTTATTATCCCCATCGTCGCTATCTGCACCTGTTGATAATTTAAACCCTTATTATTATTTATTCTAATTTTTTTTTATAAAAAAAACAGTTATAACTTTTATTTCCCTTAGCTTTATGTAAAAAAGTATTATTAAATTTCAGTTACATCTATCTCAGCCACTTTTTTTTTTATATATATATAATATAATTTAATTTCATATAATAATTAATTAATTGGCCGGGTGAAAACATAAATTATTTAGTGCCCACTTTTTCAGTTTTATAAAGAAATTACACACTGATTTGCTCCTATTATTTATTTTATAAAAGAATTAGCAAATAAATATTTTTATACTATAAAAATTATATAACAGTAGAAGAAAGTACAAGGCAAAATTAGTCTAGTTATTAATTTTTTATTTTAAAAATATTTTAAATGATTGAGAATATATTTAAATATTAGTAATATATATTATAAAGTGCAAAAAAAAAATTAACTGCATGGTACATAATAAAGAAGCAAAATGTATGACAAATTAATTTATAATATGTAATGTTTTTGTTGAAATTTAAAAAATTGTAAATTAAATTTTGTAGAAAAAAATAATTTAGTAAAAAACTGAAGATTCCACATCTGGAAAATATATAAGTACATTATTTCAAATCTTGTGAGTTCTTTTTTGTAATTTAATGAAAATTCAAATTCAATTTCTTTTTATATAATATATATATATATATATATATTGAGATATAGACAGGCAGATCCCCACCCCAACAAAATAAATAAACAAATAAAATCACCATATCGCCTCTACATAAATAAAACCCTTTACAGAATTCACCTCTCTCTCTCTCTATCTATCTCTCTCCTGTTTCTGTATATCTTCCCTTGAGCTGTAATTGTCAGGAAAAGAAATCATATATGGTCGGAGATCAGTCCAGTCTTCTACCCAACTCCGGCGACGCCGCCGGAACCCATGAGGCCAGCAGTGAAGTTGGCGGCCAGGAAGATAACACCAATCAAGGCGGTGACCGGGGATTTGGCGGTAACCGATGGCCTCGTCAAGAAACCTTGGCGTTATTGAAGATACGGTCTGACATGGACGCGACCTTCCGTGACTCAAGCCTTAAAGGTCCACTGTGGGAAGAGGTTTCCAGGTCTGTCTGTTCAATTAATTTCATCTTCTTCTTCTTTCTTTTTTTTTTTTGTGATTTTCATGGAAGTGGAAATTCAAGCTTGTGAACCTCTCATGCAAGCAGATCTGCAGATTGATTTTCCACTAAATTATATGGGTTTTTCTTATTTTTGAGTCTTCTCCCTATGTATATAGATATATATATGTGTATGTATGCATATGTAGAAGGTGTTCTCTTTTCTTTATATTTTCCATTTGGGTTATTGATGGTGAAGAGAAATTTTTTCTTGTTAGTAATAAGATCAGATTAATTTTTCATCTGAGCTTCTGGGAATGCATTTGAATTTCAGGGAAACAAATTAATTCAGGGAAAAATGATTTTTGAAAAATAATTTTCTTCATTTTTCTTGCCCCACATGGACTTGAAGCTGAGTTTTTATTTTTTCTTTTTTTTTTCATTGAGAAAAGTTGATGATCAACCAAACAAAATGTGTTTAGAGACGCATACTGCCAACATATACTTGTGTTTTCCATGTGACTTTGCTTTGCTTAGGTTTCTTTCTCTTTATAATTCCGTGGGCTACTTTACATACATGTAGACACATGCATACATACATACATATATATGTGTGTGTGTGTGTGCACCTGAATCTTCATCTCTTTCTCTTTAGTTCTCTTACTTTTTCTATATTTTTGCTTTTCATGCGAAATTAGCTTCGTCTTTTACATCGCCAAACG